GTGGTAATGACACATTTTTAAGATATATGCATGTGGCTGTTCAGATTGACATTTTTGTTCTGGTCAATCTGAATTAAATTAGAACTAAAACAGGGACCGGCAGGTGTTCACATATAATGCCAGTCCTCTGTCATCTACACTTGCTACTGATTGAAGTCTGGGCCCAATTTAAGGTGCTGGTGATGACCTATACAGCCCTAAACGGCTTAGATACCTGAAGGAGTGCCTTCTCCCCATGTTCCCTCCTGCCCCTTGAGATCTGAGTCAGAGGCCCTCCTCAGGAGCCATCCTTGAAAGAGATCAAGAGATCAAGAGATCATTGTAAGAACTGGGGGTGATTACAGTATACCACTATCTCACTTAATCTTCAAAATAGCACTAAACTGAGCTAGGTGGAAAGATGATGTCTTACCCAGGAGTGAGATTGAGGATGCAGCTTCCTTTATCCATCCAGCTTCCTTTATCTAGTTAGCGGAGCTGAATTCCATGTGCTGTTGAGAATTGCATACACCTAATGATAATTGACATGTGTATATTCCATAGTTTATTGGAAGAATTCCTGGTGTGAAATTGACAACAAACTGGAACATGGGCCATGAATGAGCTGAGAAACCCCCCAGCACAAGACTTTGGGGTTTAACAAACAAAGCTTTAATGCTCAGGTGGTTTCAGATAAAGTGACTGACATATTCTCCTATGGTAGGTTTAGAGATGGGGTCCAGCTCTTACACATTACAGTCTGCTCAAATTGGATCTGTCTAATTTCAAGGAGAAGGAAGAGGGGAGCAGATGACTATGCAGTTTCAGGGTTACTTAATGAAGATTCTCAGGCAGAAAGTGAGAAGCAGCCTGCCTTGGAAAAATGAGGGAAAGATTTCAAAACTGGGTGGGGAGGAAATTGAGGGGAAGTTTCTTGACTCTATATGGTGATAGCAGGCAAAGCAGGTAAACCAGTTAAGAAGTGTCTGACATTTCTGCTATCTGGCACTCAAGCAGCAGGGGCCATCAGGAGGGTGGAGTCAGAATCTTTTGGATTCAGCTCTTCACATGGGTGGATGCTTCTTCCATATCTCAAAGAGAATATTACTTTGGTTTTTGCTCTTTTGTAGCCCATTAAGCTCTAATAAAAGGATTGTGCTTCCAAGATCTTGCCTAAGTCCGTAGGAGAAGGAAAAGAGGTGTGTGTATGTGGTGGGGAGACCTGCTTATGACAGTAGTGGTGGTAAACCTCTTTCAGCCCAAGGTCTGAATTCACGTTTGAGGAAGCATTTGGGGGCCGCATTCCAGTCATAGGTGAGGATGAAGGGAAAGTAAGAGAGGCAAAAGGCATGGTGCCAAAGTACCAAGATGAGCCAAAAAAATCTCAACACTCCAAAGTGTATTCTAACTTAAGACTCGTACTAGCAGTAACTAAGACTTAGAAAATGCATTTCATCTCTCTACAACATAGAACAAAAACCACAGCAAAGCCCAGGGGACCATGAAATGATCTGTCATTCAGGAAAGAGGGTGGGACCTTGGGCCTTTGTTCTGAAGTGAACTGGTCTGAGTAACCAAACCAACAGATCCAAGGATAAAATCATGTGTATCATCAGTGAAAGCATATTATGAACATCCATCCAAAAGGTTGCAATCTTTCAACAGCTCCACAAAATATGTTCCAAATCAGCTTTCTGAGAGCCGCACTTAAAGTAGCTATCATTAGTATGAATGTAAAGTTTATGCAGCCTATAGAGATCCAAGTACCAATGACAAAATATTTTACTGATGGAAGTTGATGTAGCAGAATGCTGAGTGCATTTTTTCTGTACTTACATATAAAAAACAACGAAACTTTTTATAGCCTGTACTCTTTAATCTATGCTCTGTCCTAGTGAATGCAGCCAACATGCTACACCAGGGATGGGAAACTTGTGGGCCTCTAGAGCAGGGGTTCCCAAACTGTGTTCTGCAGATTCTTAGGGTTCTGCAAAAGCCTCATAGGGGTTTTGTGAAAAATTTCAAAAATGAAATTTAAAATGGAGTTTAAAATAAACCACACAAGATATGATTGCTAGTTGGTTGCAAAATTTAGGCTTAAATTGAAGAAAGTAGGGAAGAGCACTAGTCCACTCATGTATGACCTAAATCATATTCCTGATGAATATACAGTAGAGGTGAAAAATAGATTTAAGGAATTAGATCTGATAGACAGAGTGCCTGAAGAACTATGGATGGAGGTTCGTAACATTGTGGTTAGTTCTTAGAGAGATGGTAGTCCCAGACCATCTTATTTGTCTCTTGAGAAACCTGTATGTGGGTCAAGAAACAACAGTGAGAACTGGACATGAAACTACTGAGTGGTTCAAAATTGGGAAAGGAGTATGGCAAGGCTGTATATTGTTGCCCTGCCTATGTAACTTATATGCAGAGCACATCATGCGAAAGGCTGGGCTAGATGAATCACAAATTGGAAATAAGATTGCCAGGAGAAATATCAACAACCTCAGATATGTAGATGGTGCCACTCTAATGGCAGAAAGTGAAGAGGAACTAAAGAGCCTCTTGATGCGGGTGAAAGAGGAGAGCACAAAAGTTGGTCTGAAACTCAACGTCAAGAAAACTAAGATCATGGCAACCGGTCCTATCACTTCCTGGCAAATAGATGGGGAAGAAATGGAGGTAGTGACAGATTTTATTTTCCTGGGCTCCAAGATCACCGCAGACAGGGACTGCAGCCAAGAAATTAAGACACTTACTCCTGGGGAGGAAAGATATGGCAAATCTAGACAGCATACTAAAAAGCAGAGACATCACCCTGCCAACAAAAGTGCGTATAGTCAAGGCTATGGTTTTCCCAGTTGCAATGTATGTTTGTGAAAGATGGACCATAAGGAAGGCTGAGCGCCGAAGAATTGAGGCCTTTGAATTGTGGCGCTGGAGGAGACTCCTGTGAGTCCCTTGGACTGCAAGGCGATCAAACCGGTCAGTCCTAGAGGAGATCAACCCTGACTGCTCTTTAGAATGCCAGATACTGAAGATGAAACTCAAATACTTTGGCCACCTAACGAGAAGGAAGGACTCCCTGGAGAAGAGCCTAATGCTGGGAACAATTGACGGCAAAAGAAGAAGCGGGCGGCAGAGGATGAGGTGGCTAGGTGGAGTCACTGAAGCAGTTGATGTGAGCTTAAGTGGACTCTGGGGGATGGTGGAGGACAGGAACGTCTGGAGGAGTGTTGTCCATGGGGTCGTGATGGTCGGACATGATGTCGCAACTAGGAACAACAAGCAACAATCCAAGCAGCAAATGGAAATGTATCACATCATTGGGTTCCTAGGACTCTATTGAATAATGTTGGAAATAATCAAAAGGATTCATTTGGAATATTACCATATAATTACTTCATTAATTTGTTATATTTAAAATGTTTTCTCTTTATTTCCAACCTGCTATGTTATGCAAAGCACTCAGGCAGTAGTAGTAGATAAAAGAAGGAAGAACATTGTGGGTTCACAATGCTTAGTAAAAACTGGGGATAGAGTTAGGTTTCCATGGAAAAAATGTCTTCAGAAAGGTGTCATGACCAAAAAAGTTTGGGAACCTCTGCTCTAAAGGATGTGAGGATGTGAGACATCCTCTAGAGCCGGGGTCGGCAACCTTTAACACTCAAAGAGCCATTTGGACCCATTTCCCACAGAAAAGAAAACTGGGAGACGCAAAACCCTTTTGACATCTAAAATGAAGATAACACTGCATATATCGTTTTTTACCTTTATGCTATGTATAAAAAAACTATAGTGTGTTGCATTTATGAAATCAGTGAACTACTATAGAGAAAACAAATTTTTATTTCTGCATGCAACAAAAGCATTTTGAATTCCGAAAAAAAAAGAGGTTGGGTTGAAGGTTACTTTAAAATGAAATACTTAATGTCTATTCGACTCCTCCTCGTATTTATGAAATAAAAAGCCAAACTTAAATTATCCACCTGCAGCAAACCAAAAATGCCCTCTGCTTCTGTGTGCCCTCATCCTTTTATCACATGTACTGGAGGGTGCAGTCAGCTGTCAACCTGAATAAAAAAGGACTAATTGATACTTTCATACAGTAAGTAGAGTTTCTGCAATACAACAAATATAAATAATAGTCTGGTGAAATATTGAACAAACATCCCTCTCCCAATGTAATAATGCTGAAATTTTTATAAGAATCTTCTTAAAACAAGAAAGTAGATCTATATCTTCATTATGATTTAGCTGCAGCTCTTGTTCAGTCACTAAAAACTGTTATTTTGACTCTTACATTATAAATTAGTAGGACTCCTTTCATATATTTTGAATAGGAGAACAGCTTCCTGCAGAGTCAAAGTCAGTGCTAAAGGGCTGCATGCATTAAACAGAAAACCCCATAAGTTCGTCAGCAGTAAAAGCCAATGAATCTACCCACGTACCATTAAACGTTTGGTTTTCTTCAGAAACTTTTCTTCGATTTATCCATGGTTGGCCTACTGGGGAAAAAGCTCGGTAAATCAGCGCTTGTTGCAGATTGGCAGCTGTGCTGGCATGTGTTTTGAGCAACGGAGCTGCAGCAGATGGATTCAAGAACCACATGTGGCTCCCGAGCCGCAGGTTGCCGACCCCTGCTCTAGAGGATGTCCAACAATTTCTGGAGGGTAACAAGTTGATTATCCATGTGCTATACATAGCACTTGCTAGCAACCACCTACAGGTTTACTTTCTTGGTACGAAAAAAAAACCATAGAGGTACCTGCCAAGTAACTATCTACCCAGATTTTAAGACCTTGCCTTGGAAAGACAGTATGTTAACGTTTTGCATGAATAAAATAAACTAAATGTACAGTGGCTGCACAACTTCCTGAACTGGCAGAAGACAGTCCAGTTGTATAATAAAATAAAGTTAATCTACATTGTCTAATATAGAAATGATATATTAATCAGTGGTATGTATGTGCATTTAATGTGGTAAGAGTGTCTGATAAAGCATTTTTTTCTGCTGACAGCCACCAGCTCAGCCCATTTAGAAGATCTAGCTTATCTGGATGAACAACGGCATGCACCCCTGCGCACATCTCTTCGAATGCCTCGCCAGAGTATGGCTGGTGCTCGTACACAACAGGACCTAAGAGGTAAGGATGATGTGTCTGTGATAGATGTCAGGATGTTTACATATCTCTTGTCCCTGCTCTGAAGTCACAGAAACAAAACTAAAAGGTTAAAAAAACAAAAAACTTCTACCATGAAGATGGATGTTAATCACTAAGTAGCCGGTGCCTAATTAATATTTACAAGAAGCATTCATACTTTGGGAAGCAAACTGCTCTAATATGAACTAGATTACAGTATCAATTTTTGAAGTAGTTTATCAGGATTGTCCAAATATCCATAAATAACAGTGTTGAATGATTTAAATCCAAGCATAAATAAGTATCTGTAATAACAGACTTAATGGCCACTTACCAATGGGAAGGACAATGAAACAGCCACCTACAAGGGGCTTCTGTTTTCTGAGACATTTCCTAAGTTGGCAGAAAAACACTACTTCATTAAAAAATAATAATAAACAGAAATGAAAGAGTGAATAATCCTCTCAACTGGTAGCTGACTGAGCTTTGCAGCTACAATGCCTTTTTTTTAGAAAGAATTAAAAGTTGTGACAGTGACAACAGGAAGCAAAGAGAATTGACCCACTCTATTCAGTGAGGACAACTTTTCTTATATTTCTACTCCCTGTAAGATCAATTTCCTCCCTGCCTTTAACAAGAAAAAAGAACTGTCCTAGATAACATGGGAATAAATACACTTTGCCTTGCCCAGTACCCTCTTCAGGTTGGTGGTTACCTGCACAGTCAGCTGTTCAGTTGGTCCCAAGAGTCTGTAGTCTAGTCTTGGTGAGGATGAGCCTACAACATAGTCTGGAAGAAGCAAGACTGGCTGTGATTCAAGGCAGGTAGCAGGACCAGGGAATTGATAGGTAAATGTTGTAAGCTGTCCTGAGATAATATACATGAAGGACGGCATATACAAGTTTTAAATAAATAAAGACTGTGCATCAATCCACAGTGGTAAATTCCCTCTCATCCAAACAATTGTGGGCTTTGGATTTTAGCCTCTAAAAGGGTGTCAAATGATTTTACCTAATGCTTATATTTATTTTAGCTGTTGTTACAGGGAATTTTTAATAGAATGGAAGAGAATGCAAGTAAATAAATATTTACTCCTGAATAATTAGCTTCAGGCCAGTCTAGAGTTTCTCTTGTTTCTTTGGTTTGTTTCTTAATTTTGTTTGACCAAACCTGACATCCTGATTAGGTAAAGATAAAGTGGAAGGCTTTAGAAATGGGGGGAAAGTGCTTTTAGTATGTATGAAAGGTGAAATAATGCATTCAGCCCTTCACCCCATTTCACATGAGAATGAGGTTTCCTCCATTTTCTTGCTTAACTTCTTACCAGTGCTGTTTTCTGAAGTGGCCATTTCACCTGTCATTGAATAAGCTTTATACAACATTGATATAAAATGTCATACTTACATTTGGTTGATTTCTTCTTTCCCTTCCTTCCTTTCTTTTGTTTCATGTGCCATAGAAAGCAAACTAGCAATGTGGTGTTGCCGGCAGAGTTCTAGTTTTAGGATCAAACTAGATGGAATGTGATTTTGATCAATATCTTTTGCAGGTTTTTATGTTTACTGATAAATAAGCAAACTATGTTGCTTTTTTGAAGTTTAGGAGAGAAGATATTTAACCTTTTCCTCCCATGTGGTTTCACTAATCTAAATTCCAACCAACCACTGAAAACAAGAAGCTAATGGTATGCTTTCCCCCATTGGACTAATAGTTTCAGAACTTGACTGAAGGAAGAGAATAATAGGAAGGGGGTAAATATACTGTTTTCCCTAGCACCACTTGCATGTTTTTCAAAGTAGTTGTGTGGGGCTGTTAATTAGAAGAAAACACCTGTGGTGCTTCTGATCTATGCCATATCTAGTCTGGCTTTTATGCTGAGGAGACCTATGTTCAAATTCCCATTCAGAGTCCAAGACTCCAGTGTCTCCTGGAGATTTTTCTGAGAGTTAACTATCCAAATATGTTGCTGTATGCACATCAGAGCAAGGGTTATTTATTTATTTTTATACCACTTCACATCCATGTAAAATTTCTTATTTGCTCTATCAAAGTACCTTTAAAAAATTTATTTTTATTTTATATGACAAATGCCAAGCCAACCCACACTATAGAGAAACAGAAGTATTGGAAGTATTGATTGGGGCTACCCCAAGGGTGGGATCAGGACCTTTTTGAAAGGGAGAGATGTTCTAGTTTGGATTAAGCTCTTTGCATGGGCAGACCCTACTCCCACATCTCAAAGGATTCTTACACTATTTGTAACCTGTGGAGCTCAAATAAAAGACCACAATTCTAAGGTTTTGTTTAAATCTGCTGGAGAAGGGAGGTGGAAGCAGGGCATGCTCCCAGCAATACACAGGGTTTCAGTCAAGAATGGAATAGAGAACTGGGATAGCTTATTTTGCCCATTCAGTGGAATGTACATTTTTATCAATGTTATCAGTTTCAGAAGGGATTGTGGAACTTAATTCAACAAAAGCAATGCTTTGAGTATATTGTACAGCACAACTTCTCTTTGAAAAGGGCTTAATTAAATCAGCTAGCTGTTAAAGGTGTAATGCTACTAATGCTTCTTCTGTTTTTCAATGCCTAAGGGCACCTTCATTTTGGAAAGACGTAGTAATTGGGTCATTCTTGTGAATCAAAGTTCTTTACTGTTTAAGCATGTATGTGTCTTTTTGAAGTATCTATCCAAAGTCAACGCAAATTGATTTTCCATGCCCTTTTGACAGCTAACAGACCAGTACTATAACAATGGATTGATAAATGGCCACCTACAATAGTACAATGGGTGGGGGATTTAAACTTTCCATTTTTGAATGGATATCATCTACAGGTGGATAAATATGTGGATATGCAGGCAGACTTAGTTGATATTTATGCATAATTGTTTTTAATAACAGTACTATCCTCTGTTATATACTAATACAGATGGATATATAATATGTGTGTAGGTATTGTTATGGAGCTATCTAAATCTTATTGTAAAGTTTAGGTTTTTTCCCTTGTCAAAATGACTGTTTGCTGCTGCCACCCAGGCTAGCTAGATAGGAGAAAATAGCTTGTTGGATCAGGCAGGAAGGTAGAACAGATGTTTGAGAGGAATTCTTCAACTCAGATATTTATCAGGTATTTATCAGAGTCTGAAAATAATTCAGGTAAGAAAACATTCATCTGGATATATAAGCAGAATTTACATTGAAGCAGCTAGTGAGAACTGATGATAATTTCCTATTATTTTCCACATTTTATGCCAAATATAACTTTCTCACAATTTATTTATTTATCTAAAACTTTTCTAGACCGTCCTATTACCAAAGTCTCAGGGTGCTTTAACAATACAAAAATATAAAAAGTTTAAAACAGAGCATCCTAAAATTCAACTAATAATAAAACCCAATTAAAACAGTCAGGTCTTAAAACATTGGGAAAATAAAAGGTTTTGGCCTGGTGCTGAAAAGAATAAAATAATAAATAAAGGCCTTGTGGCAATACGTGCAACAGAAACATTTGTCAGAATCTATTTTCAGCCCTGCATCAGTTCTTCCTTCAGAGACTCCATCATTTTAAGAAGTACTGTTAAGGTTGATCAGATATTCAAACTATGATATGTCTGTATGTTTACTGTCAGAGAATAAATGTAATATACAGGCAGTTAGTTGGGCACCATTGCACCCAGGGTTTTCAGCAATTAGTATACATAAGCACACTGCTTCTGATCCTGGAAGTTCTAGAAAGCCATCAGGACTGGCAGACATTGATATTCTTCTCCTCCATGAATTTGCCTTATTCCTTTTCAAAGGCATTCAGCTTGGTGAACGTCTTCTGGAACTGTAGAAGATAAGCCATAGTTTAGCTATAAGCTTATACAGAAGGTATACAGGGTATGACATACATTTTACCTGTTCAAAAACAATGAGCTTCATGGAATGACCTCCATTTCTAGTATTATGAAAAGAAGATACACGTTTCTTATTTACTTTCTGCACACCATACATAATTATTTATGTTTTCCCACTTATCTCTCCTATTTGCTAAGATAAACAATTGCAGCTGTTGAATCTTTCCTCTTTAGAGTTGCACCTGCTTCTTAATAGTTTTAATTGCCTTTTTTCTGCATTTATTTTCCAGCTGTTCAGGTTCCTTTTATGGTTTATTGCTCAGAACTGTACACTGTATTCCAAGTATTGTCATGTCATAAAGTTGTATAAGGGAAATATGATCTTGGCAGTTTTATCTTCAATTCCTTTTCTAATTATACTTTCCTTTTCACAGCAGGCATGGAGTGGGTTGACATTTTCATTGAGCTGTTGACTGCAGTCTCAAGATCTCTTTCTTGGTCAGCTCAAATCCCATTAGCTTATACTTGAAGATGGAATGTTTTGCACCAATGTGCATCACTTATATTGAAGCACATTTGCCATTTAGGTGTTCATTCTCCCTATTTGGAGAGATTTTTTTAAAATTATTTTTGGGGAGGAGCACCTTACAATTCCTTTCTCTTTTAACCATTGTAAATAATTTGGTATCATTGGCAAACTTGAATACCAGTAAGTTGAAAAACAATGGTCCTAGAACAGATCCCCATGGGATCATTTTGTTTTCATTAGGAAATTCTATTATTTGTGTCACCTCTTTGCTTTCTCTTTTTTAACCAGCTGTTGCTCTCCCCTCTTTCTTTCATCCATGACTTTTAAGTTTGCTCAGGAATCTTTGGTGAGATACTTTGTCTAAAGCCTTTTGGTAATCCAAGTAAACGGTGTCTGTTTGATCACCATTGTCAGTCAATGTATGTTCCACTTTTGAAAAAAAAATGAATTCCTCAATGCCCTAATTGATTGCATCTAGAAGAGTTGGTCCTGGACCAAGAGAAAGTAGGTGACCCTGGATTTAATACTGCTGCTGATCATAGAAGATGTAACCAAATGGAGACAATGAACATACCAAACCAAGTAGAAGAAGAGGCTGAAACTTTTGCTCAGCAGATTACCAGTATTTCAAGT